AGATAATAACAAAGCTACGTCCAAAAAAACAGCGATGTACAGTTCACGTAAATAAATAAAAGATTTATAATATAAGACACACACGCCGCACTAGATGATAAGTCAAGAGCAAGTTTTGTTGGTTGAAGTATAATTTTTAGGTGAGGCGATTCTCTCCCAGCTACCATCCACTCTCCCGTAACATGCATGGCCCATCAGTCCACCAAGTCAGTCACATAATAATACACACACACACAAAAAAAAAACTAGTCCCCATGTGAGAGATTATGCATGTAATCCGAGCATCCGATTCATTATTCCTGCATAATACGCAGAGGTTTGTTGACGGGTCAGCAGCCAGCACGGAAGCCGTCGGTCCAACCATAAAAAAAAGAACCCGGACGTCGTGAGCTCCCAGAACGTCGTTCAGGTCGTTGCCAAATGCACGTCGAGTTCTTTATTTGGTTCGACCTTCCCTGTTGCCTATTGGTGCTGCTGCCATGTGCGGCTCGTTTTACTTTTTTCGGTGGTTGTAAAATAAATATAAATATAAATCAAATCAAATAAAGCGAGTACAGAACAAAACCTAATATGATGGTGCTAGTAAGATAGCAGCGGCGCGGCGTGGCCCAACCGCCCAAGCCCAAATGATTGAGGCATGATGCAGGCGGCGTGGAGAGATTGTGGCAGGCAAGGCTGTTTGGCTCATCGTTTTTGTGACTGATAAGTTTTTGTGGCTGATAAATCGGTTGATGTTGTTTTATTATAGAAATATACTATACCATTATTGATAAGCCGGACTCATAATTTCAAACGAATTGGGCATGGTCATGCGTTGCATGGTGACCGGTTTATATGCAGCACATGGATGATGGATGGAAGGGTCACGGGGACCTTCGGAACCTTCGCTAGTCACCGCAGGCAGACTTATTACGTGTGTAGTACTAAGTAATTTGCCATGCTCTGCTGTGATGTTTAACAGTGAATTAAGTCGGTCATGACTACTGTATGAGTGAAAACTGGGCAGGAGTTTATTTTTTGTTGGAGAATGTAGTACTAATCGGTACGTATTCTGGGAATGCGCGACATATAGCTGCTGATAAGACGGAACAATTCAGATCAGAGTACATGTGCAGAGACCTATCCACGATTCTGGACGCTTGTGCATTTGCTTGCACATTTTTCATTCGTGTCATAACGCGCGGCCCATAACAGGTGACGCGACGCGAAGCCTCCTGTTTTCCGCATAATCCAACGCATGTGAATCGTTTTTATAGCATATAAGAAAGGGGGACGAATCGGGTCAGCCAGGAAACGGGACTGGGCTATTACGGTGACCCTACTACTTTAAATAGCCAGATACGAATACCCCACTACTACCTTTACTACAGTGCTCCTTTTAGACCAGACACCTGACCTGAGTATACTCCAATGGGGTCATATAAACGTCGTCCAAGGCGCCACACGTACAGCTCGCTTCAATTGACTGCATGTTGGAGGCCGTTGCAGCCCAGCCTTCACGTATATCCGTCGCCCCAATATGGGAATTTGGAAGACGCCAGGCAACAAACAGCTCAAAAGGCGCAACAGCATATTATACTCACATAGCCACATGTCCAACAAACCATCCTCACCAAAACACCAGGGGAGGGGAGGCTACCTGCTACCCACCCAAAGGTCTCTCTTGCGCAACACAGCCATCTTCCAAGCAAACATTCATTCTCACTCCAGAACACAAGAATGGACCATCAATGGTCGTGATGCTAAACATCAGGTGCATCAACAAACTTTATGCTAACCGAAGACCCAAATTTAGAACATCGTCAATCGAATAGACCTTGGCACATGGTGATGAAGCCACAACAGTTACTGGTACTCCACAGAAAGATGGTGGCAAACTAAACACCAACGGGGGTTATATGGCGTTGTCAATGCTTTCATCAGTCAGTTAACAAAAGGAAGAAACAATGCATACAGCAATCGCCTTCCTACATACTGCAATCAACACAGCTAAACAGAATCAATGTTCACGCTGCCGCTAATGTACAGGCTACTGAGCCAACCAGAGGGCTCCTAGCAACAGTGCGGTGTACGAAGATGGTGTGTCAGCAACAAGCCTAGTCTTATTAGGCGGGTACACCACGAAACCTACGAGTTACTGCCTCCAGCGGGTGAATCCACATACAAAAGCTACTTAAAATACAGGGGGTTTCCTAAGCCAGACAAGGTAAGCATGTACAATCTTATGGTGCCATTGTCACGTCAAATAGACAGTTATTGTCTACTCGACAAAACTTCTGAACCTGCAAATCAAAACAAGGTAAACCACATTACACAATAGAAATGACCTATGACCTCAGGAAAATAGTAGAAACATTCAGAACAAGCACAAGAAATCTACTGGGGGGAAATATTCCATAGAACATTAGCAACAGCCTAACAATCCTCCACTCATTAAGATGTACAAAAGAAAACGACAGAAAAACTTTGTTCCACTTGAGTTGGCTCTCACAAGATCTATATTTCTAGTCTACTTTTGGAGACAAAATATGGTTCAAGACTAACTGTCAAGATGTTGACAAGAAATGTTAAGATGTGCACTTGTTCATGTTTATGGTAGACAGCAATTGCCATAACCTATACGGGCTCACTCAGCTATCGCAGAAAAGATTATGAAGTCCTTGAATTGCTTATGATAATAATAACATTATGCTCTATTGCACTATGTAAGAAATGAGGACATCGTCTACAAAAACAACTAAAATTTGTTTTGTTCATCAAAGTTCGAAGCTATAGCTACTTATGACATCTTCACAAATGACAAAACGTTGACATATACAGCATCACTGGAAGGTCTGCAAATATCTTATTTGGCCTTAGAAGGGATCGGCCAGCTCCGAGTTAATCTGTGACATTAGGGGCAACATGCAATTGATGCGATGTGTTATGCTCTGTAATCTAATTTCTAACTAGTTAGAGGAATCTTTGTCGACTGCACTAGGATTTGAGGACATGGCTACCCAAAAAAAAGCACTAGCAAATCCAAAAATTGGGAAGATTTTTTTTTTTTTTTGGAAAAGCCAGTGTAATAGCTAACAGAACCTTAGTGGAATAACATCCTCACTAAATAGGCCATGGCATCATGATTTAGGTTATTTTTTTAAGAACCTGTCCTACAGATGCCTCGAAATCCCAAATAAAGAATGGGAATGACCATCCATGTGCCCAGAAATTTCCTTACAAGTAAACCACAGACTCCAGTTTTCACTTCTGAAGGATTTCGTTTAAAAAGATACACAAACCAAGTCTTCTGTTACACAGCATAATTGGAACTGTCGGTTAACATATTATTGTTTTTCTTGCACAGCATAATTGAAACTGTCTTTTAACATATTATTGTCCCATCTCCACTCTTTAAAAGTAGTGTATTTGCCCATCCAGCAAGGTAGACTACAGGAACAACCAATGATCCAATTGTAAAAATAGATCAACTACCATAGAAGCATATAAAGGATCTCTAAAGTAATGCCAGCTCAGCAAAATATCAGCTTATATAGGAATAAATACAGCCCCTGTATGGTTCTCTAGAATGAGGGAATGTTTAATGATGTAGCTGATTACTTGCATTTCTTGTACTTTCATTTGATATAGTAAGAGTTAGCTGGTGCTACTACCAAGGTTATAGGTGGGTGGGGTGGGGGCCGCGTGCGCGGGGGGTGGGTGGATGGGGGGGTACACTAACTCAATGAGCTGTCCGTGAGGAGACTCTACATCTTGCAGTCAATACAAAGCTCGAAGGCCAAGCCTGGAATACACTGATATCATGGCTGTATTATTATTTTTTCCATAATAGGATGAACCTGAATTACATTACTAATGCAACAAAATTACAGCGTGAACAAACATCGCAGGCATTACAGAGCATTTAACACCAGACACACAATGTTTCATCGCCTAACAAACAAGAACGGTGTCTAGCAGAAACGTTAACATCAGGGCGACAGGGCCGACCAGAATGGAGGCACCCAGGGCCCCATGCCACTGGTCTCAAGAAAAAGGCATGCATCTGCCACCAAGACCACAACAAAAATAGCACAGCCAGGTTAGTAGTGCCAAGAGGGCAACCATGGTGCTTGCTCAAGTGCTACCACAAATTACTAACAGAAGACACAAAGCTTGCCAAATGGAAAAATGAACAGGTCAAGCATTGCCTTGAACTAGTGGAACAAACAATCTATGGGCCAAAGGCCTTACAGCCAAACATATCATTCACAATTGATCAATCAGTCAGGCTCGCCTTCATGATATTTACAAGGCTCTGAGGCCATGTCAACAAACAAGGGTAGGCGTAAAAACGAGATGTCTGAAACAGATCCTATTTTCATTGCGTAGCCTACCCCAACTTGCTTGGGACTGACAGGCTTTGTTGTTGTTGTAGCCATGAAAATACGGATCACCTTCTAAAATATAGGTCCCCTTGGCAGCTGAGGAAACTATAAAAAAGCCTAATAAAGATAAATTATTTTTATAGGAAATCTCTGTAAATCAGGTGGAAACCTAATAAATGGACTAAATTCATTTTGGGTAAAAGAAAGTTATCATTACTTATAAACCTCCCAGAGTCATATGCATACAAGCACCTATCAAGAAAACGCTGGGGCACAAAATCATGAAATTTTAGTGCACCAAGGTCTTTGTGTGTGTGTGTGTGTGTTGTTGTGGTGGTGGTGGTGGGGTAATCTTATGCTTCTATAATTTCTAAATGCACATTTCACAAGGTACACAGATCAGACTGCTCATATCTTACATAATTGGATAATCACATAGACAACTGTACAAGTACTGGTAAAAAAGAACTATAAAATGGTGGTTAACCATAAATATTGCAAGAGTTCACACGTAACAACGAGTAATACTTGCCGCTTTCAATATTCTTTGAAGCAAGAGTATTGGTATTTGCATGGAGTTATATATGTTCAACCATAAAACACAAAATGTTCATATTCAAACTTACCTATATCTCAAGATGAATTGCCAGCATCAGATCCATCTGAAGAGGAGCTATCACTGTCTGAGTCTGCCAAAAGAATGTTACCTGATCAGGCTACTAGGCTTTTTAAGTAGCAGTCATGAGCTAAATAGCAGCAAGGGAAGTTGAGAGATGTATTACCGCTAGAAGATGATCCTGAGTCACTGCTGGAGCTGCTTGAATTGCTTGAACTACTCGCATTCTGTCTATTCTCATCATTTTGCTCTGGTGCAGACGTTGGTAGTTGCTCACCTGCCAGCGAATCTATTTGTGGCAAAAATCATAAACTTATTACCTTACTTGTAATGTGCTTTTAAGATAAAGTAGAAAATAGGGCTAACCTTTCGCAACTTGCTTTGGAGATTTTTCACCAACAGGTTCTTGGGGGACTGGTGTCTGCAACGCATGAAACAGTTGATTATAAATAGTTTTGCTTAAAACAATAGTAGTAATGATAAAAATGACAGAGTGCTCATACTGGTTGCGGTGGTTGTATAGGGTGCTGCGCACGCAACTCTGCATCTTGTCTGGCAAGCATCGCTCGCTCGGCCTTTCTCTTTTGCTTGCTCAGGTTCTTCTTATAGTTGGCCACAAACCTGTCAAGCTCCCAAAGTGTCTCAGCATCCATGCTATCAATTTCAACCTCAATCTCATCATCATGCTGCATAACTGATAGGTTCTTGTTCTTAATGACTTGCACAACAGCATCAAGCTTCTCTGGCGGCAAATTCTGGAGGTTCTCACTAAGCTTACGTTTCTCATCTATTGTCATGTCCCTCTTATTTGGATCCTTTGCCCTTGGTTTCTTCATTGATGGAGTACGGGTATAAGTGGGAGTATGACTGATTGGTCTTGAATTGGTGTCCAATGCCATGTGGTGTCTCATCGAATCTGACCTCTCTAGGAAGCGCAGGTCAATTGGTGGAGGTGGAAACTTCTTCGGCAATGGAGGACACGATGCGAGGTAGTTAACCTCAGCCTCAATCTCAGGCCACTGTGCCTCAAAGATTCCTGACAACTGCTCCGCCATGAAATGCACATCCTGACCCTTGGGATTATATGTCATAGCATTATGGAAAGTGAGCCGGACATCCTCAGCAAACTCCTTCGGGTTCCTGTACTGCCCATGGCTGAGCCGTCCCCTTATCGTGCCAAGATCCATTGGGTGCTTGATAATAGTAAAATAATCATGCAAACCAAGTGCAACTGGATCAACAGGCTTGTTGAACACCCACCCAAACTTGTGCTTCATTAAGCGGCTCAGAAGTGATGAGGACTTCTTGAACGCATGAGAGTAGAGCCGCCGCTCGGCATCAAAGTCTGCGCCACGAGATTCTAGGTACCTATGCTTCTTCTTGTGGTGCTTAGATTTCTTGCGCCCATGTGAATCTGAGGGAGGAATCCTATCCTTGGCAAGCAAGAACTCCGAATTTTGGTACAATTGATTGGCCTTTGGCGTCCGTTTCTCCTTCTCAAAGGCTTCATTATGAATAACCGACACGGTTAGTGGTCTGCGCTGCAGCAGCGTGCGGCCAGGAGTAACGGCAGCTGCAATCTGAGCAGACATGGGCACCGCCATATCACCAGCTGAGAACTGTGGCTGCACATACCCAGCATCCACCACCTGTTGCTGTGTTGGCAGCACCATCAAGGGCAAAGGCGCGGGCTCAGAAGCCTCCCGCTGCACCAGGGCCTCAGCAGCCTCCTTCAGCCGCTTGGAGAGCACGCGGACCTGGTCGAGCTCCCCTGCCAGCCGGCGCCGCAGCTCACTCCTCGCCCTGCGCTTCCGTGCTTTCTCAGCCTTCTCAGCCGCCCAGTCGTCCCCATGGCCGTTAGGAATACGGCCACCGACCCGGTTCAGCCCAGACGAGGGGTCCCCCGAGGCGGCACCGCGTTCCCCAGACGGGGCCCGGGCGGGAGCCGAGGCCGGCGCTGCCGGATCGGGCCGCCCCGCAGCGCCCGCCGCCTCCGCGCGGCGGATGTTGCGGCGAATCGAGGATAAGGTTTCGGAAAGGGGATTCGCGGCCGGGGCAGGAGCAGGGGCAGGGGCGGGGGCGGGGGCGGGGCGGGGCGGGGCGGGGAGCGCAGGAGCGGGGGCGGGGGCAGGGGCAGGGGCAGGGGCAGCAGGGGCAGGGGCAGGGGCAGGGGATGGGGATGGGGATGGGGATGGGGCGGGAGCTGGTTCTGGAGGAGGAGGTTTAGGGTTTTTGCGGGGGTGCTTACGGGTGTAGACCTTGATCTCCGCGGCCCAGCGCGACCTGGGCGGAACGGCGGGAGCAGCCGGCGCCTCCACGGCGGGGGCAGGTCCCGGCGTCGGCTCCTCCCCGCCGGCGCCGTCGCCGGGGCCGGGAGGGTCGGAAGCCATGCATAAACCCTAAATCCGGGGCCCAGGAGGCGGCGCGGAATTGGGGAATTAGGAGGGTTTTTGCGTGGAAACCCTAGGGAAAATTTTTCTGTGGTGCTTCGCGGCTCCGATTTTGATATTTTGCTGCGGCTATGGCGCGGTGGAGCGCGGATGGGGGAAGGGGGTGGTGGCGGCGTCGGACGCGTCTCTGCTTTTGTGGGGAAGGACTGGAGCTGAGCCGACGAGCGTCGCAAAGATGGGGAGTCCGGGAGTGGGCAGGTGAGGCGCTCGTGTAATCCTGGACGTCAGAATCGGCTTGACTCCGGTCTGGATGTCAAAGTAAAGGCTGGCAGCTGGTGGCTTCTTCAGTTCTTCTGCTGTGCGCTCGCCGCTGCAGATGCTTACATTATTTTTTCTCTCACAACAAAAATAGCTTCAGCTGACTTATCAATCAACTTATGCATTAGCCGAACAGAGCCTCAGATCCTGCTGATTTCTCCATGAGACCGGCAGCTAAGGCCACCCCATCGCTGGATGTTGGCTTTCTAGGATCGGACGAGAAAAGGAAAGAAGACGATGTCCTCGATGCTACTATTCTGCAGAAAATACATATTCTCTCTGTACTTAAAATTAAAGTCATTTTAAAGGATAAGTCATATGTTTATAACTGAAGTTGTTTTGCACAGTTTAACAATGTTTTGGACTAAATTACCCCTGATCCATCATCTCCGGTCACTCCGCCATGAGGATGCAGCCCAGCAAAATTCGTGTCCTTCATCCCCATTTGCTCTATCTCGAGGAGGCATCCCAGCAAAATTCGTGTCCCGTGAAAAAAAAGGGATCCCAACGCGCAAGGGATCAATCGATCAATCCTTGGACCTCCCACCTTAGGCCTCACAACACTAACCAGTCTTAGAACAGAGTCTTTGTTGCATGAGAGAAACCCGAAACTCTATTTAATAAGGGCATTATCGGTGTTTTATAAACGGACTAGTAAATTTATACGATTATCGCGCTGTTCTAGAAAGACGATGGTAGCATCCAAAAGACACGAGGATTTATATTGGTTCAGACCGGAACCTTACGTCCAGTCTCAGAGTAGATGAAATGGTAGATGATGTCTCTCTCCCAAAGATGGATGTCCTGGCTGTCCTTATATAGAGTTTGGGGCCAAGGCGCATACAAAGCAATAGATTCTCTCGACCGAAGGGTCGTGAGCCTGAGGGAGGGCCTAGCTAACTTGGCTTGCAAGCTACGCCGTCTTATGGAGTACATTCGGGCATGGCTATCGTCGTCATGGTCTTGTGACCACGTCACGACATGGTGTGGCGTGGTGCTACTGTGTCGACCGTGACGGCACTGTAGGCACGATGGTAGTTCGCCAGCCGTCCTATGCAACGTGGTCTCCGCCATGGTCTTCGTCTCCTGGTTTTCTAGGGCGTCGTATGGGAGTTGGTGGCCGCCCCTAGGTCGTTGATCACCTTTGTTGTCTTGGGGAGCGGGGGGCCACGATCCCTATCGTTGGGGTTCGTGGTTCCCGCCAGCCTGGATGGCCTCTAAGTCAAGGCCCTCGTTGTACTCTCGTTTCATCGGGCCGTGTCTAGCAGGTGGTCATCGTACCTGTCGTCACCGCTTTAGGCGGTATAATCTTGTCTGTGCGGCGTGGCACAGGGATGGCGTCTGACCGAACTAAGGTGACTGATGTCCCCTCGATCCTTGCGGAGTCAGTGCGGTGTGCTCATTCTTGTCAGAGCAAGCACGCTTAGCGGCGCTCGACCTCTCCCCGTTCCTTCTAGGGGTTGGACGGAGGAGAGGTCGTGCACCCTTCTAGCGCCGCGCGACTAAGGCATGAAGGAGGGGTCATGGCTGACCCTAGTCTTAGGGTTCGGCCTGGTTCGCTTGGCTTAGCTGGACCTCAGTCGTTCGGGCCTTTGCTAGCTGATATGTTGTGGGCTGCTTGGCCTGTTAACTAATCGATGCCTTGAGACACCCCGGGGTTATGACCCCGACAGTAGCCCTCGAGCGTTTTTATGATCACGAAGTGATCGTGAAAGCACTGAGATGCGTGTGCGTTGAACGCGGATTCGTAATCATGGCTTATTCGAGCTTCATCGCTCGATCCCTTGCGGGCAAGTGCATTCAATGCGGTAGGTGGCCATTGTGCTTTACCCTATCAGGACACCCTGACGATGTGGTATGTGACTGCTGAGCCCTGCCGTGTCAGTGTGCTGCGTATCAGGGTTCGTGACCTAGGCAGGTGTTGACGATAGTTAATATTCATCACAAACCATCAATATAACTTACATAAATGGCTAAAATGGATCATCACTATAGACTTAGAGGTTTAAACTAACAAATTACACGAGGTTTGTTGAATCGGTGTTGTCAGCAGGATTTAATCAGAAAACTACCAATGAGAACCTATTAGTCAAAGGAAATTACGGAATTCCGCGGTGTAAACAGCGTGGTAAGACTCTAGAAGACTCCAGGAGGCTCTCCACTGAAGCGGAGCCCGTGCCCCTGACATGTGGGGCCGGCCGGCCCCACCTCTAGGCCGGTCGGCCTGTGGGCCTCTCATGTCAGCCTCCCGTTGCTATGTCGGTTCTCCACCGCCTTAAGGATCGCATCTCCGCCGTTTATTCAAGTTAGTTTGATCCGAGGGCTCAGGATTGACGCTCCGGCCTATATATACCTGCCTGCACCCCCCCTTTAGAGCATGAATTGGCATTTGATCCTGAGAGCCTAAGGGCTAGAAACTCTAATCCATATTTCCATCAGGATCAGAGCTAGCAATCAAGAGAAGATTAGTCCTCAATAGGATCTAGTCTTGTATGAAAGATAGAGAGATAGAGTGAGAGGGAAGAGTTTAGAGGAGTCCCGGCCTGTCGGTGCTCTCTCTATGGCTTGTACCCTAGCGGAATCAAGTTCTTCTTGAGCTTGCTTTTGAGATTTCTCTAGTAATCGACTTCTAATTCAAGTAAGCATCTTGTTCATATTGTTCTTCAGGTTTGCAACTCTCTTTTGAGTACTTTAATCCTTGTAGCTTCTAGGTTAAAGTAGTATTCATAGTGTAAGCGTGGTGCTTAGACTCGGTTACTCGTGGATGTACTCTATTTTCCGGATCGGTGGTAGCTCGCGAGGGTGACTCTTATAGCCTCGTTGAATCCTTTATAGTCCACCTCCCGTTAGTAGGCCTAGCAGGACCTTGTTACTATAGGAAACTTACTCTGTCTATGTTTTTTCTAGTAATATCTCCAGAATTAAACAATAGAAGACAAAGCTTGCCAAAGTTAGAACTAGAAGACCTTAGCAGTCTTCTCTATGCTCCTATTATCTAGCCTTGACTGTGAAGTTAGGATAAGTTAGATTTGGTTATTCTCATACACGTTTCCTCGAGTTCGATATAAAACTGGGTACTCCCAGTGAAGTGCGACATCGGTATAATATTCGTACGCTTGTGGATTATTCTATGTGCATTAATTTATACCAACAAGCATTTCTGGCGCCGTTGCCGGAGAAACGGTTGCTAAGTTAACTTCGAACCTAGCTTATCCTTGTATCATTATTCTTTTTCTTTCTTTTTACCATGGATCTAGAATCCACCCCTATCTACCAATATGGTGTACCCACGAGCGTACGCCTACAGCCACAAGAGTCTTCAAGCCTATCCTAACACCTGGCTATGAGCTACAACCACGTTTAATTAACATGGTTCAGGATCGACCCTTTTCGAGCGAAGATGATGAAAACCCCTATTCCCACCTAAATGAGTTTGAGCAAACCTGTGCATGTTTACGCATTGTGGGCATGTCAGACGAAACCTTACGATGGAAGCTTTTTCCCTTCTCTTTGATGGGAAAAGCGAAACACTGGTACAATCTCACCATAGGGAGTAGACAAGGAGATTAGAAAGCCTTGTGTTCTAGCTTTTGCTTACAATTCTTTTTCATCTCTAGAGTAGTTAGTCTTTGTTCTGAGGTTCTATCTTTTTTTAAAAAAAGAATCTCTAGGCATGGCTTGGGAATGCTTTAATACTCTCATTAATATTGGCCCTGACCTTGCCATTCAAGACCCCATTCTTTTTCAACACTTTTATATGGGTTTTGATAGGAAAATCTCAAAGCGTCTTTATACGGCTTCAGGAGGTTTGTTCTTGCATGTCTTCGCCAATTCGGGGAGAAACATTCTTACTAAAATCTTAGAAAACACCCCTGAAGAAGTAGAAAAGAAGCCACTAGAAGAGGAATCCCAGATAGCTAAACCTGAATCCTTACTAGACCCATCACCAGCTTCAGTTATCCCAGATCTCGAACCATCGGAAAAGGAGGAAACTCCAATTTTGGATTTCATGCTTGAATTCGAGGATGAACTTTTTGATGAATATGGAAACACCTCAAATTACCATACCATGAGACCCCAGAAGTCTAGAAAATCATCATTTTATGAAGAACCTTTAGACCCTTCTGAGTAAGCTTTCCTTAAAAAGACTACGAAAGAGCTAGTATCTATTATAAACAATGAATGGTTAGAAAAATCAGAGCTTTCCTCTGATGTGTTTCGCTTAGATTCACCTTCTATATCCATTCATTACCAAATTAATAAAGCTCCTTTTGATGCTCTTTACAATCCAGTTGTGGGTGTTAATATCATGTCTGCATCTTTTGCTCATAATTTATTGAAACACATGCCATTAACCCCAACAACAAAGTTATTAAAAAGTCTTTCACAACACATTCTCCCAAGTTTGAGAATTTTGTATGTCCTCCCTATCCAGGTAAAAGGAACTATGGTTCATTTGAGCTTTTATATCTTTAATACTATGGAGTTTGACCTATTGATAGGACAACCAATCGAAAGACTTATCCAAGAAGGATAAACGGGGAAGTTGAATATAAGACTTGGGAAAAACTTTAAGCTTTGTATACCCATTACTCATTCTCTAAATACTGAGAGTGAGCCAATTCCCAAAGAAGATCCAATGGAAGAGGTTAAGGTTGCATCTCTTGATGACTTGATCGAAC